CAGGTGTATTGTTTGAGGTACAGTATCCATGGAACAGGCTAGCGTCATGCCCCCATGTGCACACATGTGGAGACTTTTAAAACTGTTCATGTCCAGTTGCTCTGCTTGCACACGCAGTCACTTTTCTGAGAAGGTGCCTGAGATCAGGGAAGGCCACAAGCTCACTGAGCCATCCCAACACCCCCTTCTCCCACTTCATGTAAAAAGGCAGACCATTCACTCACTCGTCTCTCTGAGGCACATTGCTCCAAGATGGAAAACCTTCCAGCTGTGTAACCAACAGACAGATACCCCTGGTGTTGAGAAGCAAAGGGTTTAAAGTCTGGAATTTTGCAGCTCAGAGGTTTCTACTTGATCACTTTCAGAGAGACTGCAAGGAGACCCTAATCATGCTGTTAACGGATGCTTTCAAAATTTTACTGATGATTGATTATATCTGGACTTTGGTGATGTAATTCAGAAGGCATCAAAGAATGAAGTTACAAAATAACAAAACTTCCATTTCTTATTTACTTATTTTTAGGAATGAGGTTTCTCAGTGTTTGCATAAAACAACCCCCAAGACAGGAACAGAATTAATGCTGGACTCTATGCAATAAGGGATAGCTGTCTATGAGTAAATGAACTAATTAAAGAAACCCTCTACATCTCATTAAGATACACATTTCCAGGTAAAGTCTTACATTTTACATTTGATAATTTTCCTCAAAAACTGTTAACGTATTGTTCCTATTGTTGGCGGACTTATACTAGTTGTGTTACTTTGGAAGAAAAATTGTAACCATTGGATCTTGACGGCTTAGTAATCTTAAAGGCAGAGCTGAGTTTTGTGTTAGGTGAACGTGATAACCACTACACTATGGAAACAGATTAGAGCTGACTTTTGTGATTGGTAGCTGTCCTGCAGTCAGGTGAGCACTGAGCTAGCAACTGCTGAGCCACTGTTCCTGGGGAAGTGCAGGGTTGGTTTCCTCGGAGTTCAGATCACAACACTTTGTCTACCAGTCGACACGTGATCTTGTTTTAGTGGTATTTGTATGTGAAGACGGCTTATTTAATATGTGTTCCTTACAAATCACTGTTTCTTCATAAGGAAACACGATCTCAGGTACAACACCATGCAGTGACGGCCTCTCCTGTTCAGTTGCACATGGTGTGCACACAGCACACACATACACACTCTACGCTGCACAGGACAGTCCCGATGGAAAGCATTCCATCGAGACGGAACACTTGGAATCCTGTGAAAACATTAATGAAGACCTGACTTGTGGTAGAGCTTACTCTGTGATGGGGCACAGGGCAGTGTGGTTAAACCTCGTGACCTTGACTTGCCCCTTGGAAAACCAAAGGAGAGTGTGTGACTTACTTGGCAGAAGAAGAACATGTCAGTGAGGCTGGCACGGGGGATCTGGTGGCTCCACCCCAGGACTTTGGCTTTCACAACTTCATGATGGTGTCAGCAACGTTCCCTCCCAGACTGGCTTGAAAAATTCCTTCAGCCTTGTCTGCTTGGCTCTTCCCCTCAAATCTTTAAGTGTTTCAGCATAAGGGACGAATGCAGTGGAGGTCAGACGCCGAAATGTGAGGCTGCGTTCCAGCACAGGGTCACACTCTTCCATATCATTAACATTTTTTCCAGGGCAGAATTCCGTTCCGGTATTTTGGCTGCTGTGAGAGGGACAATTCTTGGAGTCTTGGGCTGACTTTCGTTGCCATCGTCATCATCGCTGCCACCAGTGCCAGGCTTTGCCATCTCGTCCAGATCTTTCTTGGTGGGTTCTACTGCCATTTCTGCTAAAATTTCCTCCACATCTCCCTCCCTCATGTCTCTGAAGCCCTCTCCACTTACCTGCTGTGCAATATGCATTATGTTTTTGACACTGTTCTTTGTATTTTCTGTAACACCTTCAAAATTTTTCACGTAGTCAGGCCAAACATTTCCCCAACAGTTATTAATAGTAGCCTGCTTGTGCTGTCCCAGGCTGTGCTGACGTGATCTATAACGTTGCGTATACTGACAGATTTCCAGTAGTCCATCATGGTGGTTTCCTCACTGGTGTCGAGAGCCTCAAAAGCCTTGCTGTAAAGCTCCCTGGTGTCATGTGCCTTGAAAGCTTTTATTATGCCCTGATTGAGGGGTTGGATGAGAGAGGCAGTGTTTAGGGGCATGAAGAGAATTTCTATGTTGGGATGGGCATTTTCAGGTTCTTCGTGGCAATGAGCTGGGGCATTATCCAAAATTAATAAAATCCTGAAGGCAAGGTTTTTGCTGTGGAGATTGCATTCAGCTTCTGGGATGAAGCAGTTGTGGAACCAGTCCTGGAATAGTTCGGATGCCATCCACGCTTTTTTGTTCCACCTCCAGTGGACTGGCATACAGTTTAGCTTCTTCCCTCTAAGTGCCCGTGGGTTTTGGGCTCTGTGTACCATTAGGGGTTTGCACTTAAAGTCACCCTTGGCATTGGCACACAGGAGCAAGGTTGCATGGTCTTTGAACGATTTAAAGCCAGGAGCCTTGGAGGCCATTCGCATTATATAGGCTTGTTTGCCGACGTTCTTGTAAAACAAGCCTGTCTCGTCAGCATTGAAAACCTGCTCTTCCATATAACCCTTCTCATGTATAATGCTTAGCAGATGCTTTTTAAATTCTTCTGCAGCTTCCTGATCTGCAGGACCTGCCTTGCCTGCAAGTTTAACGTTTTTCATGTGGTATCGCCTTTTGAAACGTGCAAGCCAGCCTGTGCTGGCTGAGAAGGGTTTAACCTTTTCCTGACCCTGGGTAACATGACTATAAATTTCCTTGGCTTTCAGCCTCACGACAACACTGTCTACTGTGCTCTTTTTATTGGTTGTCATCTCTTGAATCCACAAATTTAGCTGCTTTTCCATCTTTTCCATAGCTGCATCATGCACAATCGATGTTACTTTAGCACTATCTGGAGTGGCCTCTTGCACAGATCAAGGGATGTCCTCTTCCTTTTTCTGGATGTACCGTATTGCTGATTCGTTCACATTGAATTCACGGCCAACAGCACTGTAACTCAGGCCTGAATGGAGCTTATCTAACACACGTATTTTCTCTGTAAGGCACATTACAGCCTTCCTGCGCTTCGGAGCCCTAGACAGTGCCTTAGCAGTACACCCGGGGGCCATTTAAAACAGTAAAATCAACAAATAGCACAAAAATGTGAAACGTGGTTTCAGTAGACTGTGAAAGGGATATCTGCTTACATTGCTGGCTGAAATAAGGTGGCAGAGCACGGCCTTGTTCAAGTTCAGCTAGGAATGTGTGTGTAAAGGCTGTTGATTTTTCACTGCTCTGCCCGTGTCTGTAAATGAGAAAGAGCCACAAATACTGATTTGAGGTTACAAATTTTACCGTGTGGGTGAATTTGCACAGAATCTGTGAACAAGGATGCACTGTATTTACATGGGTCTCTTGCAAAAAAAGTTAAATTTTTTAGTATAAAAATATATTAGTTTAGGGTGCTGTTTTGTTGCGGGATGTGGAATGGAAGTGAGTTGAGGGAGAAAAGAATGTAAAATTTCTGACTTTTAAATAAGAGCTTGTCGATAATTCTTTAAGACTGAATGGGTTTTGTATTTCTATTGTACCTGGAGTCTCCTGGACATTTTTAAAAGGATGCTTAGCAGTTTCAGAAGTCATTAGGACATCCGAAATGGAAACTTTGCCAGTATTTGAAACCATGAAGGATTTTCACTACATATTCGTATGCGCCTTTTCAGGATTCTCTTACAGAGCGAGCAGGGGACGAGGAAGCCGCACGGGTTCAGCTGTTCACTGGAAAACAAAAACTTCGATTTGGAGGAAACATGTTGGCAATTTCTTCTAAGACTTTTTAAATTGTAGGGGGGGGGGAAAGTCTGATTTTTGTCGTCTTCACACCTCTCAACACGCCGGTTTTGGGTCGGATTCAAGCTTTGAAAGACCGGAGCTCCTGGAAGCGAACCAGAGCAGTCCTGTGGGCCTGAGAGATGCGCGGTCTCCCTGGGGAGGACGAAAGCACGGGAACGTCCTCACGCTGGAGTTCGGACGCCGCCCTGGGGGACCTCCCGAAACCGAGGCTTCTGCTCGGAGTCGGGCGGCAGCTGCGGGCGGGGTCTCGGCGCGTCTCCGCCGCCCGCCCTGCACTACGGGGACCGCGCGCGGCCCTCCCGACCCCTGCTGCCCGCGGAGGCTGTCAGCGGCAGGTCCCCCGTGTGGCAGCGGCCCCGGGGTCCTCCGTTACTGAAGCCGCGGGCGGCTCGCAGGAGCCGCGCTCGAAGCTCCCGGGCCGTGCGGCGGCCGCTCTCCCGCTGCCGGCCTAGCCGTCGGGTCAAGCATTAATGAGGCACTCGGGGCACGCGGGAGCGAACGCGGCGCGTCCATCCCAACACGCACGACGTCCGCGCCAGGCACTTCACACGGCCCCGGCAGGATGCTCGGTCCGCGGCCGCAGGCTGGGGCGGGTCCCCTCCAGCCCCTCCCGGGCTTGCTCACCGCGGGGGCTGACCTCTCCCCCGCCCGCTGGAGGTGGGCGGGCGGTGTCCACGCGACGGGCCCGAGGACCGGCTGCCGGGAGGAGCCTGCGCGCGGGGCCGGGTGGACCGTGTCGGAGGACTAGAACCAGGTGCCGCGCGGAGGCGGCGCCGGCGGCGACCACGCGTGGGGCCAAGGGCGCCGCGCCTGCCCCGGGGAGGGCGGGGCCGGAAGGGCCGCGCGCCGGGCGGCCGGGGCGCGGTCTGAAGACGTCACTTCCGGCGGCGGCCCACTTCCTGGAGAGGTTAGGGGCCTGAGATTGGTGCAGCCAAGAGGAAGGAAAGAGGGTGAGGAGAGGCGGCAGCCGAGCGGCCGGGCGACTGGGGCGGCCGGGGTCGCTCCGGGCCGCCGGGGCCGCCCGTCCGCGACCTCTCGCGCGGGGCCAGCGCCGGGGGCTGCCGCGGGTGGCGTCCGCGGCCCGCGCGCCGCCGCTCAGCGCCTGTGCTCTGTGTTGCAGGTGTACCCGGAGCCCCGGAGCGAGAGCGAGTGCCTGAGCAACATCCGCGAGTTCCTGCGAGGCTGCGGGGCCTCCCTGCGCCTGGAGGTGAGCGGGCGGCGGGCGCGGGGCGCGGCTCGGGCGGGGCGGCGGGCGGGCGGGCGGGCGGGGGGAGGGCAACGCCCGCCGCAGCGGCGCTCGGAGGCCGGGCTCGCGGGCCCCCCGGGGTGGGAACGCGCCCCCAGGGCGGGGAGGAGACGCCGTGCGCGGTCCCCAGCTTGGTCCTCGCTTCTGTGAGCAAAGCCCGGAGGCTCGGGCGGGTGCCCCGCGTTGGCGACCGCGGGGCTGCCGTCCGAGAGTCCTCGGTCCCCGCCGCCGCTCGGACGCTGCTTTCAGGCGTTCCCCGGGGACCCGCCTTCAGGTCTGGGTCAGCCCCTCGTCGTTCCCAGCGGTGGTCAGGACGAGCTGGGCCGACACTCCCAGCATCACTCCCTTTTCCAGCCAGAAATTAGATGGTTTTTACGCGAACACTTGGCGCTTAGGGTAGAGACAGGCTAAGCTCTGTCTTGGGGGAGCGAACTGGGCGGCGTGTCTTCTCCGCGCTGGGTCAGATTTTGTCACTTCGCACCTCGGTGCTGCATACAGTTTTCCCGGGGCAGCTCTCTGGGAACCCCTGTTTTCACCTGGTTCGCTCTCGTTTTTCCTGATCTCGGAGTAGTGCTGTAGATCCAGAAGTCGAGCTCTTCTTTGATTTGGGAATTACCGGTGACGGTGCATGGGGTCAGCTCTGTGCCTGCGGCTTTACCACCCTTAGTCTTTGGCTCCTCATCCTGCTTGCCGCGCGTGGGGTCAGGCTTGTGGAGAAGAGCCCGGGAGTGCATCGCCAGCAGAACCTGTGCTGTAGGGTGATTCCGTGAAGGTTTCCCTCCTGAAAGGACAGGCTTCCTGTAGGCTTCTTGGAGGAAAGAACCCAGAAGCCCTCCAGTCTGTGAGGGAACGTTACACAGACCACTTACCTGCTCATTGGAATCCGACAGGAGTTAAGAGATCCGGAGACTGGTTTTATGCATGACCGAAGGGCTGTTTGGGAGGGGAGACATTGTCTCAGAAGGGCCTTGTGGTTTTACCCTTGGCCGCTTTTTGGGCTGTGAGCACGCGCTTTGCTAGCAGCAAGGTTTGCTTTTCCCTGACTTGTGTCGTGAGACGATTTTTTTCCAACCAAGTTTTGCTTGGTGTTACGCTAAATTTGAAATTCAGTTTGCATATTAAGGTTATGATCTCACAAGTTTGTGTGGGACTCTTTAAGGAGGTACTAAAGGTGAGTCTTAAAAACCTCTCATCCTTCACGTTCAAGAGGTTGCTATTGGAATTTCATATTCCAGCTCTTCTCTAGAATAGTTCCCTTGGAGACGCACTGGAAGAGGTCACTAACCTCTCCTGAGCCCCTAGAACGGTTCTAGGCATACCATAGGCCTTCAATAAATTTGTAGTTGATAGTAATTTTTTTCTTAAGATTTTATTTATTTATCTGACAGAGAGAAGGCGAGAGAGAGAGCACAGCAGGGGGAGTGGGAGAGGGAGAATCAGGCTTCCCTTCCATATGGGGCTTGATCCGAGGACCCTGGGACACCCAACGACTGAGCCATCCAGGCACCCCTAGTCATTTTTTGTTTACAAGGAAATTTGGATGACTTGTTTTTAAAAGATTTTATTTATTTACTTGACAGAGATCACAAGTAGGCAGAGAGGGAGGCAGAAAGAGAGGAGGAAGTAGGCTCCCTGCTGAGCAGAGAGCCTGATGCGGGGCTCGATCCCAGGACCTTGGAATCATGACCTGAGCTGAAGGCAGAGGCTTAACCCATTGAGCCACCCAGGTGCCCCTGGATGACTTGTTTTTAAAGAGTAAATTATCTCTTCTAGTAAACAGGCACCTTGTTCATATTCTTCCAAGCTCAGTTGAAAGTCACACTTAAAACTCATAATTACCTGAGATAATTAAAGTGAGGAAACAGCACATCAAAACCCTCAAGTTGTTGTCGCTTTGATTGTCCCCTCCCCGCTTAGGAAATCACCCAGAGAAAGGAGTTTGGTGTGGTGTGAACCCAGCTGGGGCTTCCAGACTTGATCTCCTCCGAGGTGTAAAGGGGCTGGCCTGTTCCCAAGCCCCTTGACCTGGCCTTGCACACCAACCCTCTGCAGCAGTTCCCCAGGGGCCTTAAAGAAAACGACGTAGAAAGGGAACGGGCAGGGAAGGATCTTGCATTTTTGATATGCGTTCTGGGCTTTACAGGCTTCGTTTTTATGCATTCTGAAAGATGAGAGGAACTGTTTGAAAGGACAGATTCAATCCTTAAAACTGAGCTTGAATTCCAGATTAGCTTTTGTTCTAGAATGTGTCAAGGTGCTTTTTTTCTGAGAGTTCAGAGTGAAATATGTTTGTAATGGGTTGTTTTTGGTAATGTCTTCTACCGCTTTTTTACTATGCTAAGTTTTAAACTATGCTGTTTTTTACTATTTTAAACTATGCTATGATTTCTTAAAGGAAAAGAGGAATTGAGCATCGTGATGACTCTATCAGTTCTCTTAATTAACTGTAGAAAACCAGGCATTTCCCCAGCAGGTGGTTCTGGTTACGGAGGGAGCTTTAATTTTAAAGGAACGCTATGCAGTTTGCATTTATTAACCCTTGAGAAAAAATTTAGGTTTTTAGTTGGAAAACATTTTTAAACGTGGGGAAAAAACAGCTGTGGGAAAACCACGCCTGTGGCTTGGGTGACCTTCTGTGTTTCTCTTTGCTACTGATCTTGCGTCTCATTTGAATCCTTCATTTTCTTGAAATAGTTTGGGATTTGATAAGAATTCAGGTTTTTTTCCCCCATGTTCCTAAGGGTGGAGTAAGGTAAGATCCGAGAGATGCCCCTGTTTAGAACTGTTGGGATAATTAAAGTTGATGCTTAAACTTAACGACAGAGGAGCTGGCACTGTGGTTCTCCAGTTACTTTTGGGAATGTTATGTTGAGAACCCCTAGTTTGCCTGGTATACGTAGCAAGGACAGAATTGTCCTAGGCCTACGTGCAATGTAGGCGAGAGAGCGAGTCTTGCTAATGGGGACTAAGTGCTCTGTCATAAAGTTTTCCAGAGTCTCCATTTTGTTTCTTGTTTCAGTTCTCAGTTATGTCTTTATTTGTGAACGATTTTTTTAATGATTTTATTTATTTGACGGAGAGACAGGGAGAGAGGGAACACAAGGGGGGGAAGTGGGAGAGGGAGAAGCAGGCTTCCCGCTGAGCAGGGAGCCTGATGCAGGGCTCGATCCCATTGCGGGGCTCCCATGCAGGGATCATGACATGACCTGAGCTGAAGCAGACAATGACTGAACCACCCAGGCACCCGTATTTGTAACCTTTTCTAAAGGACTGCACATGTCGCATGTTCTGCTCCTCTGTCTTGACCACGACTGAGCACAGCCATGGTCTGGCAGTGAGGAAGCCTAGCCCAGTGCGTCCGCGTTTTCAGCACTTACCCGCGAGCCACTGTTGGGGCCTTGCATTAGTATTAATCCTTGGATAGGGCACTATGAGGTTCAAGGTGTAGGAGCTTTGAAACACTTTGAATCCTTGCCAAACTCTCCCCCGAGTTTTCCTCCTCCACCTTGCCAGCAGCAGTGGGCAGACACTCTTTGTACCTGCCATGTGTTTTCTTGACCTCTGGGGGCATAAAGAAGCCTGTTGGGATAAACATTTGGGTTTTTTTTCCTCAGTATCCTCCATGGTGCCCCCATTTCTGGGTAGGTGGTCAGGGAGACGGGGGACATTCCAGATGTCCTGCACTGCACGCTGGCACTGGAGGACAGAGGTTGCAGACCTCAGACGGGTCTCGTGTTGCCTCCCGGCCTTTTCATGCTCCGCTCCTGCAGCTCTGCGTACGGACTGGGGGCCTCTGTGTAGCCCAGTGCTCCGGCTCCAGGAGCGTCTCCCTCTGCGAGAGGAAGGCGCTTTCTCCGAGGTCCGGGGAAGGAAAAGGAGCCCAGGTGGACGCTCCAGCATCGGAATCAGCTGGGCTGATGTAGTTAGTGGGGAGGTTTTGGAAAACATTGTCTTACACGTGTTTCTGGAAACACTCTTCAAAAATGCATGGAAGGACAGATTATTTTATGATAGTATATATGATGCTTGATGCTCTTTGAGATTTTTAGCCAAGGTTGTGATTGAAATTTTGTCCAAAAGAATATTTAAAAATAGGGTCAAAATTAAAAAACGTGCTTACATGAAACTTTAAACAGTTTATTGACAGAAGTTTAAGAATTAATTGAAACGAAGTCCCAAGTGCATTCGTAGTCCTTTCCTACGGATGGAATGCCCCAAAGTGACCAGTCCCCCAGCAGGTGTTACTTTTGTCTTGGATTGAGGCAGATGCATTGTCGAGCTGCGTGAAGGCATGTTGAGGCCGCGTGGCAGTATTTTCCTTAGCTGGTCCTCTTCGCTGTGGGCACAGTGGTAAGCTGGAAATGGTTGGTCATGCCGCAGGGTTTGACTTTTATCGATAAAGCTCTTGAGGTTTACTCACCAGGCCTTTGTCAGAACTTGCCTCTTATGTGACGGAGTGGAGTTCAGTTTGGAAGGTGCGTTTTTCTGGACGTTTTATAGGTGCTTAAAAGTGAAGAAAGCTGAATTCTATTTAGATCTTCTGGGTCTGTTTAATTTACTGGCAGAAAGTGTCCCAGTTTGACCCTCTGTCTTACATCTTTGTGTCTTGCCAAATTATTTCGTGGGGTAAGCTCTTCATCACCTCTGTATCTAGGCTGATTTTCCAGAGTAAATAACTAGGCTTTCCCCTCCACTTCCGGTCTGTGCTGTGGCTCGTCGTCTAGGTGGTGCTGTCCGGCGAGTGTAACGTGAACCGCACTCATCGTTCTAATGCTTTCGGTAGCTACGTAAAATAAAAAACATGAAGCTCATTTTAATAACTTTCTCTGTAACATAAAGTATCCATAATGTTCCAACATGTACTTAATATAAAAGCGTTGAGATATTGTTTTCATGTTAAGTCTTTGAAATTCAGTTTGTTTCTGTCACACTCACAGCTCTTCGCATTCTGGGATCAGCCA